TGTATAGGGGCAATTATTGCAGTTTTCCAACTCTCTGGGAACCAGTTTGAACTTTTCTGGCCGTTTTTCTGGACCCTTTTGGCACTTTAGAAATCATGGCAACGGAGGTTCACAGACGCGACGGTGAGCGCTTTGTTTACACACTGATTGCGCTGAGTAAACCTGTGCTGCTGCCCGGAGCGAGGCATGACATCCCGGCGGAGCTGCGGAGGAGGCGCAGGGGGTGCAGAGCAGGAGCCAAGCTGAGGGCAAAGAAGAGGAGATTTCGCCCAGCTGTACCAGCGATTATCACGGGGAACGTGAGGTCTTTGGGGAATAAAACGGACGAGCTTGCTGCGCTGATTAAGACTCTGAGGGAATACCGTGAGTGTAGCGTTTTTTGTTTTACTGAGACTTGGCTGCACTCGCATATCCCGGACCATAGCGTGGCGGCACCCGGCTTCAGCGTTGTTTGGGCGGACAGAGACGTTATTAGCAGCAGTAAGAAGAAGGGTGGAGGGATTGCACTGTATGTGAGTGAGAGGTGGTGTAATCCCGGACATGTGCATGTGAAGGAACGTCTCTGTGAACTGGACATTAAACTGTTTGCTGTTGGAATGCGTCCGTATCACCTGCCCCGGGAATTCACGTCCGCCATTGTGATCGCTGTTTACATCCCCCCATCAGCTGATGCACCGACGGCCTGTGACGTCATCACCAACACCGTTGCCAGGGTACAGACTCAACAGCCCAATGCTTCACTGTTATTACTGGAGACTTTAATCATGTCTCACTGGACAAAGTTTTACCAACATTTCAACAGTATGTTGACTGCCACACCAGAGAAAATAGAACCCTGGATCTGCTGTATGCAAACACCAGTGATGCACACAGCACCACAGCCCTTCCCCCCCTTGGCAGATCAGATCACAACCTGGTCCTGTTAACACCTAAGTATGTCCCCATTGTTGAGAGGCAGCCTGTTCACACCATGATGGTGAGGAGGTGGACTGAGGAGGCTGCTGAGGCACTGCAGGACTGCTTTGAGTCAACGGACTGGGATGTACTCTGTGAGCCACACGGGGAGGACATCAACAGCATGACAGACTGCATCACAGAATATATCAGGTTCTGTGAAGACTCCACCATCCCAAACCGGACTGTACGCTGCTTCCCCAACAACAAGCCATGGATCACCAGTGACTTGAAAGCCCCCCTTAATAAGAAGAAGAGGGCTTTCAAGTCTGGTGACAGAGAGGAGCTGAGGAGAGTGCAGCATGAACTCAGGGAGAAACTGAGAGGGTGTAAAGACGCCTACAGGAGGAAGCTGGAGGCCAAACTCCAGCAAAACAATGTGAGAGATGTGTGGACTGGGATGAAGCACATCACAGGATGTAAAGGGAGACAAAGGCAACCATCAGGCAGCCTGGAGAGAGCCAACGAGCTGAACACTGTCTTTAATAGGTTCAGCTCACAGCTGTCTGCCTCCCTCATACATCCAGCCCCCCACACTCCCTCACCACATCAACCCCCTCTCCCCCCTGTGGTGAACATTCCTGTGCAGCACCTCTCCTCCCCTGGAGACATCAGCACCCCCCCACACATGACCGTGACTACGAGCCAGGTTAGGAGACAGCTGGAGAGGCTCCACCAGAGGAAGGCAGCAGGACCTGATGGCATCAGCCCCAGGATCCTGAGGACCTGTGCCAGCCAGCTGTCTTCTGTCATCCAACACCTCTACAACCTGAGCCTGAGTCAAGAGAGAGTCCCAGTGGAGCTCTTAGACCCTCTATAGTTTGCCTACCAGCCCCATTTGGGAGTTGACGATGCTGTCATCTACCTGCTGCAATGAGCTCATTTGCATCTGGATGGTGGTGGCAGCACTGTGAGAATCACCTTCTTTGATTTCTCTAGTGCTTTCAACACCATCCAGCCACTGCTGCTGGGTGAGAAGCTGCGGGTGATGGTTGTCGACACCTCCATGGTCTCCTGGATCACTGACTACCTGACGGACAGGCCACAGTTTGTCTGTCTCGGCAGTGTTCTGTTTGACGCGGTGGTCAGTGATGCAGGAGCTCCACAGGGGACTGTGCTGTCCCCTTTCCTTTTCACCTTGTACACCACTGACTTTCAGTACAACTCCGAGTCATGCCACCTGCAGAAATTTTCTGATGACTCGGCTGTTGTTGGGTGTATAAGCGGAGGAAGGGATGGGGAGTACAGAGCAGTGGTAGATAACTTTGTGGAGTGGGCTGGGCGCAATCACCTGAGGCTGAATGTCACCAAGACCAGAGAGATGTTCATCGACTTCAGGAAGAAGAGGACGGCTTCACAGCCGCTGTGCATCCTGGGAGAAGATGTGAAGGAGGTGGAGGTCTACAAGTACCTGGGCGTCCATATAAACAACTGACTGGACTGGAAATCCAACACCGACGCTGTCTACAAGAAGGGGATGAGCAGACTCTACTTTCTGAGGAAGCTGAGATCCTTCAACGTGTGCAGCAAGATGTTGGAGATGTTCTACCAGTCTGTGGTGGCCAGCGTACTTTTCTTTGCCGTGGTTTGTTGGGGGAGCAGCATCAGAGCCAGTGACACCAACAGACTCAACAAACTGATCAGGAAGGCTGGCTCCGTGATTGGCTGCAAACAGGACGCTGTTGAGGCTGTGGTGGAGAGGAGGACACTGAACAAACTGTTATCCATCATGGACAACCATGACCACCCTCTCCACGTCACTCTGGACAGACAGCGGAGCTCCTTCTCCAACAGATTGTTGCAGCTCCACTGTCGAAGGGACAGATACAGGAAATCTTTCCTGCCACAAGCTATTGCACTATTTAATAACTCTCATCTGTCAGACAGGGACTCACACCTGTCTGCTGTATAGTCCATTTTAAAAACTCCTACCACATCACATTACTGAGCACCTTAGACTGTTTATTTATTTATTATCCCATCTGTAATATTTCGCTTTCCTATTTATTACCCATTCAATAGCCCAGGTTCTTCATATCTCACTTTTACCTCTTAGGATGTTTAGTATATTTTAGTGTGTATTTATTGCATATACTTAGTACTTTTAGTCTGCACTGTACTTACCTCTTGTTATATTTTATATTTAATGTTATTTGTATTTTCCCTTTGCTGCTGTAACAAGACAATTTCCCAGTTTGGGATCAACAAAGTACATCTATCTATCTATCGATCGACAGGTTGACTAAATGTGTAATAGGCTCCAACAGACCATTTTGATTTCTCTTAATTAATTCAGCATAGAAACTGTGAATGTCCTTAGACATTGAATTACTCATATTTCAGATGTATTTGGCTACCGTATTGTTAGATACCTCTTTGATCTGGAAATCATCTGAACGGGCACTATCATGCTGCTCAGAAGATAACTGAATTTACTGGACAGTTCCTCTACAGACTCAGTAAAGAAGGTGTTAAAAACATTAGCCATTGCCTCATTATTGTCAATGATAATATTGTTTACTTTTAGGTTAGTTATTTTAGGGTGGTTGCGCTTGCATGAGTCTGTTACTCTATTGATATGCTGCCATAATTTGGAACTGTTGCCATAGGCCTCTTCAATGAGCTTGCGGAAGTAATTGCTCCTAGCCTTCCTTAGCTCAAACACCACTTTGTTCCTTAAAGCAGTAAAGAGTAGGTGGTCAGTATTGTTTTTTTGTCATTAGGGACTTTTTACGAGCAAGATCCCGCTTTTTAGAGAGCTGGAGAATATCCTGATTAAACCATGGGAGTGACTATTTTTTTTGTGTACTTTTCCAAGTTCTTGTGTATTTATTTATCAGATTGCCCATGATTGAGGTAAAGTTATTCACACAAGCGTCCAGATCCAATTCTCCAGTTACCCTTTGCTGGATGACTCCCATTAAGTTGTGGTCAAAATTAGCTATGTTTCTTCTGGGAATTCCTGTCGTAGAGGATTTATTTTCTGCTCTATCATGGCAAACCAAGCGTTTATGTGTTAGCTTTCTTACAACCAGTGTCATATTATGATTTGATAATCCAGTAATAAGATTATAGGTTTTTATTACCCTCTCTGGCCTATTTGTGAAAATCAGATCAATAAGAGTTTCAGTCTTTTATGTAATGGGGGTAACCTTATCTAGCCTTTTTGTCAGCCCAATTTACATTATAGTCCCCAAAAAATATGGTTTCATTAAAATGATCACAGGCAGAAAGAAGACCTTTGAGTTCATTGTACAATGTAACATCATGATCTGGAGGGTTGTACAACACAACAATATTAAAATTCATGTTAGGGGAAAGTGTCATGTTTATTTCCAGGCACTCTAAGTCAGCACCAAGATGTAAATGAGAACCCCCCCATATCCAACTTTACCTGTGGTTCTATCTTTCCTATAGCATGAATAGCCGGGTATATTAACTCTATCAGTGAAAATATTACAGTTCAACCAACTCTCAGTTATGCACAAAAAGTCCAGGTTTGACTGCATGAGCAATTTTCGCATCTGATCTACTTTTGGTAAAAGGCTTCTGATATTTAGATGACCCCTCAGTAAACCTTTAGGCTTTGAGTGTGGATTCCATATTACTTGTGCGTGATTTACAGTTTGAAAAAACTTGAATTGTCTCTGTTTTAGCGATGCGCGAAGACGAGATTCACGTGACAGTTGTGTGTCCCCTGCGGGTCTCCATCTTTGTTTTTGTTTACATTTGCCTACTATCCTAGGCATGTGAGCAGTACTGTTTGTTGTTAGTGAGGCATTAGCAGCCTCAGGACTCACCTGAGTGCCAACGGCAACAGCCCGGGACTGATCAAACTCCAATGTTACCGAAACAGCAGTGAGTGCAGCTGAGCAGCGTAGGATGGTGTTCTCCTCCGTTCACCCGGGGTGTAACGTTGGCCGCTGCATGGACTTAGCCGGCTCCACGGCGCATGCAGACCCCTGACAGCCAAGTGTCATCTGAACGGGCTAGCTCGCCCATCCAAGCCCCCGCCAAACAATCCTGCTGATGAAACACCTTACCGCCTAAACTGCTCCCTGGGGCAGCGTCCGCCGCGGTTGTACCTGGACTGACACTACCCTACATAACAGGCGGTGAGTTGCGTGATTGTTGTAGTTGGTGTCATGGGCTGGGAGCATGTTGTCGCTGGTGATGATGATGGGATGATGTCCTGCGTAGCATAGCCGCCCACTTGCTGTGAAGAGGGCCCAGGGTTGAGATGAACGTCCCCTTATAGCAGCAATAGTAGTAGTAGCATTTTGTCTGTGTGCCAGCTTCTCATCCGCCTGGTTGTAGTTGTGTGTGGCTTGATAATCTGGGAGCGACTGCCCCTGAGAACCCGTTCAAAGACGGCAGCAAAGCCCAGTCCAAAAAATCTCAGTTGTGTTTGTGGAGTGCCAAGTGGATCACTGGGGGTGTGATCCACACATGGTTGTTCTTTAGCCACAGTCCCTGGTGTGTTACAGGTGATCAAAACAGGTACCAGCAGTATGAGGCCGCAGGTGAAGAGGTACAGACCAGTGTAGTCATGATTTTGTTTGCTCTTGTTCCTACCGCAGTATTTAAAGTAAAATTCATGTGGGAATATGCTCAGCAACCCCCAGATTACAACAAACAATTGGCAGATGGGGTTGTAGGCAGCGTTATGAAAAAGTTTGCAGATGAGTGGAGCCTACCAAACCACCCACTGCCACTGCCGCCATCTTTTCGGACTCCTGGTTTCATTGTCCTAACAGTTGACAAGGACTGACAATGTCGTTGTCAACTGTTAGAACTAAATACATTCACCTTACCAAAGGTGAATGTATTTAGTATTTTCAACATAAATATATTTCATAGTATATTACATCTATTAACCATTTCTTTGAGTGTGGTAAGATTTCTAGCAGGCTTCAAGAATTAGGTGTCCCTAAATGCTCAACTATGTCAGTCAGAACCATAGACTGATGGACAGCCTGGTTCCGCCTTCCGCCTGTATATGGATTTGAAGCCAAAAAGCTCTCGGTAATTCCGGGTTTTTCTCCACTTTCTTGAAACCAGAGCTGTGCAGTAGCATTGTACGCAGACGTTTTTGGCTGGGTGGGAGACTCGGAGACTCGTTTTTATAACTCCTAATAACTTTTTAAAATGGAGTTGCAGAGAGAAAAAAAGACCTGAACACAAACCAGTCTAATAATAACTACATGTCAACATCGCAGTCGGGGGTGAGAAAAGTGTATTTTCTGTGTAATTAGTTTCTTAAGGCCGTCCGCCGCTCCATTCACTTTGCTGGCAGAAGTGGGGTTTATGACTTGTACTGCAGCCAGTCTCTAGGGGGTGCTGTTCTCGGAGTGGCTTCACCCGGCGAGGAGACAGACGGCGTCCATCTTATATACAGTCTATGGTCAGAACATCAACTGGGTTTCGGGCAAAAAAGACTCCTGCAGCATGAACATGCACCTTCTGTGTCCACATTAAACTCCCATCACATCTTTTCGCAGGACATTAAATAATCAATAAAAGAACAACATAAAAATAAATAAACAAGAAGAAAAAATGAAAAAAGAGAAAGCTATAGCTGCAGTGGTGCCGGTGTAGTTGGTTGCCTTGATGACCAAGGGGCGCAGTGGCAGCAGGCTGTTTGCACGCTATCAAGTAACGTGATGGGTGATGAGAAAAATTTTGCATGGACAGGTGGATAGAAAGGCTGATCAGCAGTTTGTCCTAGTTGTCATCATTTGGTGAAGAGTGCTTGGTGCGTGGCTGAAAAAAAAAATCTTTAATTGCTATCTAAGCATGCTAAATGCTAATGGTGGTTTGGCCAAACGCATCACAATCCATCCCCAATCAGGTTACCTGTGTCATTTTTCAAGGGCTTGTCTTCTGCAGAGCTCCAGTAGCTCATCAACAATTTGTGTCGTGGGTGGAGACAGCACTGCTCTGCACACTCCTCTTTACGTTAACTTGTAGCCTAACATTGCCAGTGTAGTGGAAGTGGCAGGTCATATTGGAGCTATTCGGCTCTGAGACACTAAAGCCTTTGGGGGCATGATTAAAGCTAGGTTCACTGAGTTTTGAATGAAGAAATACTCAAAAACAAGTTTTGCACTTAGTTTTCTTTTGCTACGTCCTCTAGCATCAGAAAAATGCCATATGAACATAAAGACAACAAGAAAAATGTGTTTTTCATCAGAGTGGGTCTTAAAGACAGAGCACACAGAGCCTCACCATCCTGAGATTTCAGATTTATTCATTTTAAAAAGGGGACAATGTGCATTAATGAGCATTAATATGTAAATACATGAGATTATAGCCAGATGGCTAATTTCCAGCCCTGGTCCCATCAGTGCAAGACCATCCTTGCAATAAATGAAACACAGAGCGTATTTAAAAACAAGAAGCAGATAAAACAGGTCCTCTTAATACTGCCCATTGCCAAATTATTGCACAAAAATATAATATATGTTGATTGGACATTATCCTGCTGTTCACGATTATCAAGTGCCATGTTGGATATAATATTGCACAATGCCCAAAGCACACAGTTGCACATGCAGATGTGTGAGTCAGACACTTGGTCTTGTCCTGGCAAGACAAGGTGTGACATACTTTGAATTATGCATGCTGCTTCTCTTGACCATGAGGTCTTAATTTTTTAGGCCAAACACCCCGCTCTCTGCAGGCTGTGACCCCTCCACCCCCTGCTTTGTTTGCTACCTTGCATGCAGGGGTGAATACCTCAGCACCTGCATGTTGCATTTCACTCAGCCCCGACAGATGGTCCTCACCCTCCACTGAACACACACTCTGGCACCTGGGACGCTGGGGAAATCCTCCATGCTCTTTGGCTCTGTTAGCCAGCACATAACCACGCTACAAACACAGATGCATCGGCATGTGTGTCTGTAGGCATGCGAGTCTGAAGCTGTGCATGTTTAATCATAACTACTGGACAGTAAAAACTACACCGAAACAGATAAAGGTAACACTTGTGACATTTATTTCAGTGACAGACTTTTTTTCTCCTTCACTAGGTTTGATTTTTCTATTGACATGGGGCTCTATTTTCATGCCTCGCCGGCAGCGTGGTGCAGGCGCGGTGTGAGTAAGATAAGGCATTCCCAAGCACATTTTGGTATTTTGGTGAGCGGCGCAGCCTGGCGTAAGTATCCCCTTTCCCTAACTCAGCTCCTTCCAGCGGTGTAAGTCGTAGTGAGGGAGGAGATAAGGCGTGGAGTGGGTTTAACACAGCCGAGACCTGTTTTTGCCAATTACAACAGCTCCTCTCCTCACGTACATTTAGATTCTCATTCATCCAGGTCATGGTTTTCTTAAAAACTTAAAAAACAGGCAACTGGACTGTGTAGAGTTGAGAAGACATTTCGCCTCTTATCCAAGAAGCTTCTTCAGTTCTAAAGTGCTAGTGTGAGGAGCAGATATTTACCTTAATGGAGAAGGGGACAGACAACGACTGGGAGGAGTTGGAAAGAATGGGTCTAAACCCCCCCCCCCCCCCAAGTCGTTAACCTGAAAGGGTCATGTGGTCCCAGGTGTGAATGTTTGTGGAGCTTCCTGGGGAGAGAGCTGAGAACTGCATTGTATGTGCCGGAGAGGTTGTGCCTGAGTCCCCCCCCCCTGTTTAGAGAAGGTTTCTCCAGTCTGGTAAAGATGGCTTCTTTAACTCTTCTTTCAAACCATCTGTCTTCTCTAGCCAACACCTGTACATTGCTGTCCTCAAAAGAGTGACCTGTGTCCTTTAAGTGAAGGTGGACAGCTGAGTCCTGACCTGAGGAAGTGGCTCTCCTTTGTTGAGCCATGCGCTTGTGAAGCGGTTGTTTAGTTTCCCCAATGTACAGGTCCGAGCATTCCTCGCTGCACTGGATGGCATACACCACATTACTCTGTTTATGTCTCTGTGTTTTGTCCTTGGGATGGATGAGCTTCTGCCTTAGTGTGTTACTAGGCTTGAAATGAACAGGAATATGGTGTTTGCCAAAGATCCTCTTGAGTTTTTCCGACGTCTCTCCTCCCTTTTGTGTTCAGTGTTATTTTTCTTTCTGTTCTTCACAAAGGCCCCCTTAGGGTATCCACAGGTTGTCAGGGCATTTTTGATGTGCTTCTGTTCCTTTTCGTTACCTTCTGTCTTCGTGGGAATGTTCTCAGCCCGGTGGTTGAGTTGTCTGATTACACCCAGTTTGTGCTGCAGTGGATGGTGGGAATCAAAAAGTAGATATTGATCCATGTGTGTGGGTTTCCTGTACACTTCAATGTTGAGACACCCATCGGCCTCCAAGTGTACAGCACTGTCCAAAAAGGCCAACAAATTGTCCTTGACATCTCCACGGGTGAATTTGATGTTGCTGTCCACTGTGTTGATATGGTCAGTGAAGGCCTCTACTTCATGTGTTTTGATCTTAACCACTATTGGAGAATGGCGCTCTCTGAACTGGAAATAGGTGGTGCTTTCCAGTTCAGAGAGCGCCATTACAGACAGAAACATGGATGCGCTATGGGCTCCCCGGTTTCTCCAATAGTGGCAAACCTGTACATGGAAGAGGTAGAGATGAAGGCCCTAACCTCCTTCAAAGGAGCAGCACCTAGCCACTGGTTCAGATATGTGGATGCCACGCCCGAGACATCGGTGCACCTCAGTCTACGAAAATACCAAAATGGCTGTGCACCGGGCTCTGCCAGATTCTGATACCACTGTGCGGGGTGTGCCACCCTTCGCAGCACCGCCAGCAGGCATGAAAATAGAGCCCATGGTCACACTGATTGTCCATATGTACTGTAGCTGACACAAATATCTCCCTGTTTTTTAAACCTAAATTAAAGAAGAAAAAAGAAAGAACTGAATTTGTTGCATTTGGATCCAAGACTTTCTGTGATGTATCCTTGCAGCGATGGTTCTTGATTTAATTCTGGGTTAACTTTGTTGTCTTTTACTGATTTCTAAAAGCTTCATGCTTTTATATCTACTAGTGCAGACAATTGTAAAACACTTCACGTTGGTGTCAGGTAAATCTGTCGTGTCTACAGTCAGAGCACATTTACTCCTACCGCGCCTTTCTCCACATGCTAACTCTGCCCATTTTAAGATTTGATTGCTTGTATTTTGTATTATGTATTATGCTTGTTTCATGTGTTTTACTGGTGCTGTTTTGTCTCACTGTGCAGCTTTTTGGAGAACACTGTTGAAATGGGCTATAAACAAGGGGGCCTGGAGAAACCCAACTTCATCTGACTGAATACATTGTAATTTATGTACATTAGTTCAAGTTAAAGCTTATTAATCTGGTCACATGATGCAGGTCATCCATTGCAGAGGGGCAGCAGCATTCATGCTCAGTCCTGCACACAGCTGCAGCACAACGACTGTATGTCATCCATATATATAACACATGCTCAGAGCATAAACCCATTAATTGTACTGCATTATTTATGATGCGTCTCTGTCATGGAGGACACTGCATGTTGAAATACACACATCTTAGAGCCCTGCAGACTGCCGAACATAATTCTCTGTGATGAATAGTTGTACAGATGTTTGCATGTTCTGTCTGCAGACTGCACCACAGAAACCAACCTCTGACTATAATCCTGCATGCAGAGTGAGGGTGAGTGGCGGGGAGAGGGGGGGGGGGGGGGGTAAATTAAACAGATATGCTTATCTAAACTATTTATTAAAGAAGCATATCCCAGATATAATCCTAATATGCTACCA